TCCTCCTCCCGCCTCCTCCGCTCCTCCACCTGTCTCCTCCCGCTTTCTTCCGCTTCTCGGATGCGCCGGTGGCGTTCGGCGAGCATGGCGAATGCGTGGATCCTGCGCTCTTCTTGCAGGCGGACGAGCTCCTTGGAGAGGAAGTCGAACATGTCCGAGAGGACCTCCCCCTCCAGCCGGGACAGGTGCTCTTCCTGCACCGAGGCCTGTGTATAGGGACACACCAGTCACTAATTACTGAGATATGCCGGTATTTTAGAGCAGCCCTTCCCCCCCCATGCCCATGAAAATGATTCCCCATATTCCGTTTACCTTTGATGCTCAGGATAAAACATACTCACTAGTCCGGTGAATCCTGCGTTGTCCATTTTCCCTCGTCGCCCTTCCGCTGCACCTCCCACGCCACCATCTTTCTTGTTTTCTTTTCAGCCCGCCTCCAAGGATGAAGAAGCATGCTAATAGGAGAAGAGAGCAGAGTGACGAAAAGATCGGCTCATCACTGTGCTGCTTCTCCTTTCACTGTCTAATCACAGGTTGGGGGCGGGTCCAGGATGATCTGGGTACACAGGAAGTGGGTTGAATGATGCTGGCTATGAGACTGAGGACATCTAGTGGCAGAAAAAAGGTACTGCGGGGGAAAACTTTTGTTATTTTTGCTCAGAGATTGGGATGGATCGCATTTTGTAATGTGACTATAGTTCCACTTTAATAAACATGACGAGAAGTCGGGGGACACGTACCTTGTGCTCCTCGAGTTCATGCTGACGCTGCAGGGCCAGGGTCTCCTGTCTATCCTCCTCCTTCAGCAGTTGCCCCTCCTCCTGCAGGGCGTGCGTGGTGCGCAGTTCCCGGATCAGCTCCAGCCGCTTCTCCTTCCCCTCGAATATCTGGAAAGAAACGCCGTATTATTGGCCAGGTACGAAGGGGCGGGGAACCTCTGTAGTGCCTGTCCTGTGAGCCCGCAGATCGCTCTCCTCCAATCACATGACCCTGTCACCCACCACATGACCCCGTCACCCATCACATGACCCTGCATCTACCACATGACCCTGTCACACACCACATGACCCCGTCACCCATCACATGACCCTGTCCGCCATCACATGACCCTGCATCTACCACATGACCCCGTCACCCATCACATGACCCTGTCCGCCATCACATGATCCTGTCACCCATCACATGACCCTGTCTGCCATCACATGATCCTGTCAGCCACCACATGATCCTGTCAGCCACCACATGATCCTGTCAGCCACCACATGATCCTGTCACCCACCACATGATCCTGTCAGCCACCACATCACCGTCAGCCACCCCATG